TGCTGCTGCTACTCCTACTACTCCTACACTACTACTACTACTGCTACTACTACTACTACTACTACTACTACTACTACTATTACTAGCACGACCACCACTACTACTACCACCACCACCACCACCACCACCACCACCACCACCAGCATCACTTACTACTGCTACGCTACTGCTAGTATTATCCTAGAACTACTAGTACATTGTGGGGTTTTGATTTAGGTAATCTTGGACCACTTGCACCACTTGCTGACCAAGATTACCACCCGACCCCCCAACGGATCCTCAGCAAGATTACCAAGATTACACGTAGTCTTGTCAGGGTTTGGGGGTTTGGGTTTGGGTTTTTAGGGTTTAGGCTTGCACGCGCCTGGGTTTAGGGTTTAGGGCTTAGGGGCGTGCAGGGCGCGCGCATCGGTTTTGGGCCTTTGGGCTCAGAGGTTTGGGTTCTTGGGTTTGGGGTTTTTAGGGCTTGAGGGTTTTACGGTCAAAAGTTCCGGGTTTTGGGGTGTAGGGTTACGCACACCCGGCATGCGCATCGGTTGAGGGTTTGGGGCTCCGGGGCACACTCGGACAGGCTTGAGCTAGCATTAGCAGTGGTAGTCGCAGCGGAAGCGGCATTGGCAGTGGTAGACAAACTCAGGATGGTTGAAGCAATCGACACCGTGGAACGGTGCAGATGGGAGAAAAAAGTGAAAGAAGTTCTTCCTCCGCCTCGGCGAGATGGACGTCTGAGAACATTTTGTGGGAACAGGACGATATCCGACGTGGATGCTCTGTGGCAGCGTACCGCACGGCACCGGACGTCATTCGTCCCCCCCCCCCACCCATCCAACCCCGCAAAGTGCCGCCCGTTCCCAGCCAGGTAAAAACCGAAAAATGTTATCCGTACAGTACCTACAGTACCTAAGCACTGGGGGCGCGGCGCCTCCGCCTACTACGACGACGACGACTGACTACTACTACTGCTACTACGACTTTTCAATATGTCCTCATATGCTCATAAGGTGGTAGTAGCCTTGGTTTATCGTGCTGACTTTTTACTGTCGCTGCAATGTACTACTACACAACATCATTGTAGAACGGATATTGTGCACACGTGATTGTGCGTCCGACATGGAACCGCGGAAAGTGCAAAGCTGTACATGTGTCACGTCTTCCTGCTGTCTTAGATTCGATGGCCTTGCCTGCTGTGATGCGGCTTCTCACGTGTTTGGAAGTGCTCATCGAATGTTGTGTGGCGTTTCGAATTTGGGGCTTTGCATGTGCAACAGCCGCTCAACTTTGCCGCAACATCCGCTGACCTCTGAGGCCTCTGAGGCCACAGGCATCGGGGCCCGAGGACGCCTTGTTTCCGTGCTTCAATCCAGCTGATTCATGACGCACCTGCGGCTTGATGGTTGAACGTTGGTTGGGCTCTGGCTGCCAAACTTCCTTGGACTGGTACGTAACCCGACATCACTCAAACAGGAATTCCTGCCCCAGACTCGTATGTTCCTGCCGTCAGGATCCGCTGCGGCTGCTCGGCACGAGCTCTCCCAAGTCCTGGCGCCAGCGACTTGAGGCCGCTCTGGACGAGGGCGGCCATGTCATGCAGACTGTAGCGTGCAGCTCGCAACGCACAGATTTCAAGACTCAACATTCTCAAGAATTCCGGCTCCCGGTCAACAAAGGCCTTGTGGAACACAGTGCAAAGCCGACAAAGTGCCAGCATTTCGACAGGCGCTGGAAGCCATCCAAGGCGTGATGATACTTGCCGGCCGTGATACTAGTTGTAGCAGTAGCAGATCGAGAGAGTATTCAGAGATGATTTAGTATGCATGAGTCCTGGTGGTTAGTCGTGGCAGCACGTGTATTACCAGCATTGATGGCCGCACCGCCACCGTCACTAGCAACACCACCACCGAAGCCGCCAGCGCCGCCACCAGCGGCGGCAGCCGCAGTATGCACCCCTGCTGTAGCCACATTTTCAGGCTGCTTGTCCAGAACGATTCTGGAATTCAAGGTCTTCCGACGTCTTCCGAGAGTATTTTCCTGCAGGGCCTGTGAAGTTGCACTGCAGCTGCAGACCGTCTTCGTCTCAGGACCTTGCAGCCGTCCTCCTCCATTCAGATCTGCGGTTATACCTTTCACGCTGTGCCACCCGGAAACCTTGTTGTCAGTTTATTCTTCCACATGAAGCTACGCTACATGTAGCACTTGGCAGGGCCAGATGCAGACGGTGTCCACGGCCAGTTGCTGTGGCCACAGCTGGTACTTCAGGCTCTATGGGCGCTACTCTTCTCGGTCTCTTTCTGCCCCTTTTTGATTCTCTGCTCCCTCCATCCCGCACCATCGGAACCCTGGTGGGGCTTCTACACCGCAATGCGGGCTATGACCAGCTTCCCCGTCTCGCAGTAGCGTGTAGATCACCGGGCAGGGGAACTTTTGGGACAGTGTAACTTGCCGAGTCCCTGCTGCATGCCCACTCCGTGTCCACGCTTCGTTTGCTGCGCTGCCCTCAACAGCAGTGGCTGCATGGTTCTTCATGCCAGCTCTCTCCCTCTCTCTCTCTCTCTGTTTCATCCTTGAGACTTGAGAACATGTTTCAGCCCAACCCAACCCAACTCAACCCCACCTGCCTGCCCGCCGCCACCCACCCAGCCCGCCGCCCGCCTCTCTCGGTCCCGCTCTCTGTTACTTTTTTTTTTTTCTCTCTCTC